ACGAAAAAAACCACATAGTATAGTATGCCGCTTTTAGCACAAAAAAAACGACATCGCATAGTAAGGCGTTTTTGGCCAAAAAGACTGAAAACGCCTTACTATGCGATGTCGTTTTTTTCGGCCAAAAACCCCTTACTATACTATGCCGTTTTTTTGCCCGAAAAAGATGACTATGTATAGCAAGGCGTTTTTAGCCGAAAAAAGCGACATAGTATAGTATGCCGCTTTTAGCACGAAAAAAACGACGTAGTATAGTAAGGCGTTTTCAGTCTTTTTGGCCAAAAACGCCTTACTATGCGATGTCGTTTTTTTCGGCCAAAAACCCCTTACTATACTATGCCGTTTTTTTGCCCGAAAAAGATGACTATGTATAGCAAGGCGTTTTTAGCCGAAAAAAACGACCATGTATATTAAGGCGTTTTTGGCCAAAAAGACTGAAAACGCCTTACTATACATGGTTGTTTTTTTTCGGCTAAAAACGCCTTGCTATACATAGTCATCTTTTTCGGGCAAAAAAACAGGCTATAAAATGCCCTACTATACATGGTCGTTTTTTTCGGCCAAAAACACCTTACTATACATGGTCGTTTTTTTCGGCTAAAAACGGCTTACTATCCATGGTCGTTTTTTCCGACCAAAAACGCCTTACTATACATGTTTGTTTTTTTCGGGCAAAAAACACGATAAAAATGCCTTACTATACATGGTCGTTTTTTCGGCTAAAAACGGCTTACTATACTGTGTCGTTTTTTTCGTGCCAAAAACGCCTTACTATACTATGTCGTTTTTTTCGTGCTAAAAACGCCTTACCATACTATGTCGTTTTTTTCGGCTAAAAACACCTTACTATACTATGTCGTTTTTTTCGTGCTAAAAACGCCTTACTATACATGGTTGTTTTTTTCGTGCAAAAAACAGGCTAAAAATGCCTTACTATACGTGGTCTTTTTTTTCGGCTAAAAACGTCTTACTATACATGGTCGTTTTTTTGGGCTTAAAAACACGCTTTACTACACATGGTCGTTTTTTTGGGCTGCAAAAAAAATGCCTTTCTTTTCATGGACTTTTTCTCAAGAAATGCCTTGCTGTACATGGTAATTTAAAATAGAACTACATGAAAAAAACACCCTACTATACAGAGCCGACCCCCGCCCCCACCCTCCCCCAAAAAAGCCCTTCTATATGTGGACACATTAAAAAAATGAAAAGCCTTACTGTACACGGTTGTTGAAAACAGCAGAGGTACAGCGTTCGCTTCCGTCTCCCGCCTTCTTGTGTGGAGTTGGCATATTCTCCTCATGTCTGTGTGGGTTCACCCGTTTGCTCCCACATTCCAACAACATGCGCGGCAGGTTATTGCCAATTTAGAGTGCTTTTTACACTCTAAATTGTCCCAACATGTGATCGGGCTGGTTGTTTGTCCATGTGTGCTGTGCGATTGACTGGCAACCAATTTAAGGTGTAGGATAAATGTACATTTTATTCACCTTAAAAATAAAATCATTACATATGAACTCTGTTACACCCACAAAACAAAACAAACTCAAACTAAAATGGACTTAGTGGAGATCCCTGTACATTACAGTTATCAAAAACAATGTGTGTATTCAGCTCCTGATGTTCTGCAGTGAGTCTATGAGGCTCTTGTTGTAATCTGCCACTCGTTCGTAGACTTCCTTGGACACGGAGGCGAAGTCACTCTCCTGAGATTTCGAAGCGATGACTGACATTGCTGTTAAAGAAAACAGCTTGCACGGACATCGCACGACGACCAATGTCTTGGCCCACAGCGCTTTTGGAAAGGATACATTCTTTCATGACAAAGTTATTCTGCTCCAAATGTTGCCACTTCCTCTCCAGGTTAGCCAACTACCAAACCCACCACCCCCCCAAAAAAAAAACATGAGCAAACAAGTCAATCGAAAGGTAGGATTATTGATTCAAAATTATTCATATTCAACCTTAGGTCCATGTAATGTAGGTGTACAGTTTTGCCTCATTCAATTATTCTACGAGAAGCAACGACAACTAGTAAGACACTATTTCTGTGCTGAATTGTCTTAATAATGAGGGCAAAGAGCTTACTCGTAGATGGACCTTAAGCGGTCTGTCAGGGATGCTCAAAACATGCTCCATATGCGATTCATACAAATTCATAAATGCGTTCAGCATACACACCTGCGCGTGGGTCTCGTTTTCTTCCAGTTTGGTCCTCAGCGCCTCATATTTGTGGCTCATTTCCTCCAAAAGTTGTCGGAATGAATCTCGCCGTTGTATGAGGGCAACTCGCTCCTCTTGTAGTCTCTGCACAACATCGTATTGATCCTTTCAAACACCGGTTGCAAACTTAAGGCCGCGGGGGGGCCAGATTTGGCCCGCCACATCATGTGCTTTATAGTTCCTGCTCAAATCTTCAAAATTGCAAATTATTTTCATGTTGATGTTACTCGCAACATAGCGGGGTCAGGGATCACCGTGTATTGCTCCTCAAAGCAAAATCAAGGTTCTCGAACAAAACTGTTGGTGTGTGTACTCCTTTATGTGTGTGGCGAAGACTCCTACCGTCTTCCTCTCATCCGCCGTGTGTCTCAGAGTTTCCAGGTCCCTGTAGGTGAGCAGCTCGGATTCCATCTGTTTGACATTTTCCTTCAGTGTGCTCAGCTCTCCCGTGATCTTGCCCTCCAGCTGCTGCACTTTCTCCAAGTCCTGCTGCAGGCGCTGGGACTCTGGGATGCGGACACAGGGCATGCAATGTGATTTTGGCGGGACCACGGAGGGGCGGGGCGTCAGGTGCGGGTCTATGTGGGGGGTGTCACCGACCAGAAGTCAGTCCTTTGGCGGTGCTGGCTGACTGCGACACCTCCGTCTCCTTGGAAACCAGCACGTCCTGCATGTTCCTCAGCTCGCTGGCAGTGATTGTATCCACTCGACGGAGCCGCAACATGTTCTGTAGCAAATATACAGTATGCTAGCACTCACTTTTGTAGAATTTCCTAAAAGCAGTTCAAGATGGGGTTGGTTGGTGAAACATATTTGCCGAAAAAAAAAAAAAAACAGTGTGTTCATGAGTAGATCCCCCATTCCGCTTCCATCCCCATTTTTTTCCGCCCCTTTTGCATCCCCTCCTCCTCGGCTCACCCGGCTGCAGTGCTCCAAGAGGGAGACGATATTCTCCTGGCTCTGAGTCATCTTGTTCTGCTCCTGAGTCCTTAAATCCTCGAAGGCCTGCAGGAATCCTGGCAATGAACAATTCGGTCAGTGTAAGTTACAAGGAGCTGCGTACTTGACGTGATAGAACCAAAAAGGCAGCCAATAAAACACAGTTTGAAAAAAAGATTTTGATAGGACGATTCTATGACAAGAAATTAAAAAAAAAAATTGTACAGCATCCATAATGCATTTAAATACCTCTCCAAATCTTTTATCACCACCAGTAAATATGCAGGCGTTCAACATCATCAGCTGTTGTGTTCAAGGCTACTTTTAGATCTTGTCACGTAGCATGTACAGTGGCGTGCATGTGAATAGAACAAGATGACTCCGGTGTATCAGTTACCATCAATTTCTTCCTCTTTCCTCTTCAGCTCCTTGTACTTCTGCTGACACTCCCCTTGAAAAGAAGACGCGCACGATCATTTTAATGAAGTCTGATGCAGATTTATTTTTTTTTTAAATTGGCTTCTTTTGTTCAATCAAATGAGATCCATTCTCAACAACTTTCAGCAGATGACCTTGAGCTTCCTCCGAGTCCTGCTCATGTTGTCGGATCTCATCTGCAATTTGACCAGTCCTGTCCCTGATCTCCACCAGTCTGCCGACACACAACGTCACAGATCAATTCGCGACACAATTGGCCCATCCGCTTTTTCTCAAATCAAAGACACGTACTGTCTGTCCATGCTGGCGATTTCCTGATTATCCTCTTTCACCTGAAAAACAAAGTGTGATGTTATATGGAAAAATAAATAAAAAAATAATTAAAGTATTAATATGGTTATCGTGGACTTGTGGTGGTTGTCGTCGTGGTAAAGACATCTGAGCATCTAACCGCACGCAACACTGTTATTCCATCATTCCGATGAATCCGAACCAACCTGTTTCAATAGTTTCTCTCTCTCCTCTTGAGGCGTGCTGAAGCTCTTGTGCTCCGCCTCCATGTTGTCCCGCTTGGCCTCTAGTGTCGACAACGTTTCGTGTAGCCGAACGACTTCCTGTTTGATCTGCGAATGGGCCAGCTCCTACGCAAAAAAAAAAAAAAAAAAAAAAGGGGATGGAACAGGAGAGGATAATCTCGCTTAGAGATGCTTCGAACCTCAATCCGCAGATCAGGCGCCAGGGCCGGCCATTGTTCTTTTCTTCCGTTTGTTTGCCTTTCTTCTGTTTTGAACTAACTCACCGCTTCGTATTCCTCCTTCCGGGTCAGCAGGGCATCCAGTTCTTCTTGGAGAAGAGCCAGCTCCTGGGACAGAATGAGGTGGGAAAATTAAAGTGACGGTCCGGCCGGTATGGATATTTTTGGGGCACACTTTACAAAGAAAGTGGCACAACAAATACCTGTAGCAGCTCCTCATTGGCTGTCGTCATGGTGAAATATTTCTCCTGCTTTGCAGCCGGCATGGCTTGGACAATCTCCTCGGCAACACGCCTTTCCTTCTTGATTTCTTCTTCAATGGCCCTAATGGCGTCCTCTCTTCTGCAGAGCAAAGACACATGAGAATAAAGGATGGGAGGAAAGAGGCACGCGACAACAAACGATCCCGAGATTTGGTCAGAAACAGTCAGAGAGAAACCGGAATGAAATTCTCCAAAAAAGAGAATACCAGACTACACTAAAAAAAAAAAAAAAAAAAACATGAAACATAAAATGCATGACTGTATATGTTCTGTATGTGTGTGCAGAAGTGTGCTGCGAGAGTTGACTTCATCGTCGCTTGGGGCTGTGCACGAACAAGGAAATGTGCAACGACGAGCGACGTGATCAAACAACTGTTCTCTCCAGTAAAATGTTGCATGTAAGCTTTTCAGAGTTTACAACAACGGGCAAAGGTCCTTTGCTGCGCTGGCTGCGCCAAGGTTGACACGCTAGTTCATCATCTTGCTTCTCACAGAACAAAAAGGTATGTGGCTCGTGTTGATACTTAATACTATTGAGAAGACAATCAAGAGCTGCGAGGAACAATACGCTCGCGGGTAATTCCTCTTTACAGGGGTGTGTGGTGGCTGGGGGGGGAGGGGGGGGTAACTCACCAATAGCACGTTTGCCTATCACTGAAAAAAACGATCGATACTTCTGTTTGTCCGCATGAATTATGTTCACCTCAGTCACTTTCTTAATGGTGCCGGAAACTTTTTACTTTGTTCCATTTCAAGGAGGCAGATTATGGGCCAGCCCCAGCAATTGATCCACTTACTGTGGTTGGTCTCTTTCGTAGCAATATGGACAAAGAATAACCACGCTACGGCTGCCGTGCGAGATGTACACGGAAGGATTCTCTCTTATTTTGATCTGATGTAGCACAGTCAGCAATGCCAGCTGGTCCAAGTATAGTTTTCATGGTCTCACCATCCATTCACGCTTATGTGGCAGGTGCGTAACTTAACCAACGTGTTTCTGAAAGCTATCCCCCCCGGCGACAGCAACTCATCTGTGACTAGTCTTGTGGTTGAGAGGAATCAGATTACGCTGTCCAATGAGGACAAAATATCCTTGGCCGGTTATCCCCAACTCGTGGAGCTCCACCTGGATCTGAACCGGGTGACCTACATACCTGCTAGGTACCTGTCGGTTGTGCCCAACCTCAGCGTGCTGTCGCTATCCAACAACCAAATCAGCAGGTAAATAGACATTTAAAATAATACATAAATAACTGCAATTTTGTAGATATTGATATTCGCAGTAATTTCCTTTTATGATCCTTTGACCAAAAGGTCAACATCAGTGTTCAAGTCTTTTTACGACCACTGCCATGACTGTACATTTATTCCAGCCTAGTACCCGAGTCTTTCTATGGCCTCGATGCACTCCGAGTGCTGAACCTGTCCCACAACCTGCTGACAAGTCTTCCCGCACAGCTATTCAGACCGCTTAATGATCTACAGGTAACGAATCATATACTTGAATCCCGAGACATTTACAGCATTGCGCAAAAAGTCTTGGGGGAGGAGGGGGGGG